AATTCAAAAGAAAAAAAAAAAAAAAAACCTTCTACGAACCTTTCCACACTTCAAATACCATAATCACTCAAATCACAGTAAGCATTCTGGCACTCAGGGTTGGACAGGGCCTGGAGAGGGACAATCCCCAGCCATCCATGACAAGGGCGACTGTGATCAAGACAGTTGGGGTTGATTTTATATTCTTTGCTCTCACAAGTAATTCACATATTTATGCTGTTAGTCAAAATGCAGCGGCTTAATGCTCTCATTATTTTTAATCTAACTGGAAAATCAATTGTCTCTGGTTGTTGGTGGTTATGGGTATAGTTTTTGAAACCCCCAACAATAAGAAATTGGAAATGAGAGTAGCTCCATTTGTATTCTTTCATTAACTTGACAAACTTTCCAGGTAGCTTCCCAGGTGGCTCAGTGGTGAAGAATCTGCCTGGCGACGCAGGCGATGCTGGTTCGAGCCTTGGGTTGGGAAGATCCCTTGGAGGAGGGCATGGCAACCCACTCCAGGATTCTTGCTTGGGAAATCCCGTGGACAGAGGGGCCTGGCAGACTACAGTCCATGGGGTCGCAAAAGAGTCTGACATGACTAGCGACTAAACAACAGAACCAATGTTCGTTTAACACCTACCAGATACAGAGGACACAGGCAGCAATATTGAAGAATTCACATTTCAGCAGTAAGTTGAGCAAAATTACTTGCTTTGACTTTGAAAGAAAGATAACAGAGTTTCCACAGAGCCTAACCAGGTGCCACAAGCTGGGTGTAGAGAGCCAAAGTTAACTTAGACACCGGTGATACCCAGCTGACATCCTCTTCCCGTCCCCCCTCCCCAATCCCCAGGATTTTTTCCCACCAGTCAGAAAGTACAAGTTGGTCGACGTATGATGCAAGCCATAAACCAGAGATTATGGCCCATCAGCCTGTTTTAATGTAAAGTAGCTTTGCCTGTGTGTGTGCTAAGTCGCTTCACTGGTGTCCGACTCTTTGTGACCCCATGGACCGTAGCCCACCAGGCTCCCCTGTCTGGGATTCTCCAGGTAAGAATACTGGAGTGGGTTGCCATGCCCTCCTCCAGGGGATCTTCCCGACCCAGGGATCGAACCTGAGTTCTTAGTCTCCTGCATTGGCAGGTGGGCTCTTTAGCAAGTTGCTTTATGTGGTGATAAATCTTTTAAATTCAATGAGACCAAGTTATTGTAACATCCAATTCGAGGACAGAAAATGAAGAGAATTCCACTGGAAGTTTTTAAAACCACTCATCCTGGCCCTGATGCCTGTCTGCCTTAGCCACCTACTCCTCCAAGAGGCAAATAAACCCAACACTCCAACTTTTTCTCCTTCACTGAATAGGAGAAAACATGGACTAACTTTTTTTTTTTTTTTTTTAAAGCACTGGGCCATTTGGCCATGATCTATGGCCCACCATAAACACCATTTGGTGTGGTCAAAGGGGGCCTATGTTGAGCCAAGTAAGAGGTGAGTGAGGGAGCAGAGTTGCAAAAGAACAGTTGGTCCACTTGGGGTGGGAAGGGTTGCCAAGGACTCCTGGACACGGAGGAGAAGTTTTGGGACTCGGGGAGGGGGAGAGGAAGGGAAAAGTGAAGGCTGTTACAGTAAAGCTGTAATCTATTCACATTCATATGGAGCCCTTAACTCTTCCCCAAACTGAACTTCTAACGTGCTCAAGAGAACACTGAACTGCCAAGTTCTAGCTGGACCAGCACTGTGGTTCAGTGGGGTCAGTTTGAGGGGTCCCCAGCCCACACCCCCAAGGCATTCACCCTGTGTGGCGAGCTCAGGCATCAGAGAATCCTAGATAGTTGACAGGATCCTCTGAAGACCAAGAAAGATGGGTCATGTGAAAACAACCTAAGTGTCCATCAACAGACAAATAGATAATGAAGACATGGTATATATATATATATATTTTTATACATATTTTTATATATACATATATACACAATGAACTACTACTCAGCCATTAAAAAAAAAAAACAAAATTTCGCCATTTGCAACAACGTGGATGAACCTAGAGGGTATTACACTAAGTGAAATAAGTCAGATAGAGAAAAATAAATACTATATGATATCACTTATACATGGGATCTAAAAAAATATGGTATCACTTGTACATGGGATATAAAAAAATACAACCAACTAGTGACTACAACATAAAAGAAGCAGACTCAGAAACAAACTAGTGGTTAGCAGTGTAGGGGGTGGCAACACAGCTGAGGGAGTGAAAGGTATAAACTATTGAGTGTAAGACAGGCTGACAGATGTATTGTAGAACATGGGGAATAGAGGCAATACTGTGTATTAACTATACATGGAAGCAACATTTAAAAACTGTATAGAATGGAAAACAATTATATAAAAGTAAAAAAAAAAGAAAAAGAAAAACGACTGGTCAATCAGCCTAAAAAAATCAACCCGAGGCAAAGAGGCTGTCCTCCATGCAAAGACCCCTGAGCATGCCCAGATGTCCAGTAAGTCTCGAGGGATGACAGAGGACACGGACTGTACAGTCGGATTCTCTGGCTTCCAGTCCCTACTCCACGTGTAACAGCAATGGTCCCTGTGATTCCATTTCCCCAACTGTAACTGGAAGATAATAACAACACCCACCTCTCAGGACTACTGGCAGGATAAAATGAGATCACAGTTAAAGAGCTTAGTGCAGAGGCTATCACATGCTAAACACTGAGAAAATGAATGTTAGAACATCTATTCTTTTCAGGGCTGCCCTGAGTGACCAGTGGGCTCCTGAACTAGAATGACAACACAACTACTCCTCTTTAGCTGGGCCCTCATCGTGGGCACCCAAGATACCCCTATGGGGCACGTGGTACGATCTTCATTTTAGAGGTGAAAATACAACTTCAGAGGGATTCAGACACTTATCTGAGCTTTTTTTCAGCTAATAAAGGTGGAGCAATGAGAGCTCTGATCATGTCACAGCAGAGTCTGCATTGTCATTAACCTCCAAAAAGCTTAAAAGCATTTTAAAATAATACTTCAATACGTTAAAATCACCATTGATTTAATAAAACTTTGTTGCTGTGAAATCCCCCATTCTTCCTCCAAGATATCTGCATAATTACCTATGCAATCTGAAATACCTTGCAGATTCTGATAGACCATTAAAAACACAAAATTATTTTTCTGAACATAAATATGGGTAAATAATAATAATGGCTTTAAAGTTAAAAAGTACTGCAGACCCACAGTTTATCAAGTCACTTTTCTTTCAGGATTTCTCATTTGATCCTGTAAAAAGAAGGGGCACACTCCAATTGACCTGTATGACAACTCTTTGTCCACATGTTTGGTAAGTATGTAACAAAACTGCCCACAGGTTCCTTCAAATAACCTCTCTGACCATCTTCTACACTAGTGAGCAAGACTGTACAGACACTTCACTGCCCTAAAAGAAAACACAACCAAATTTAAACTAAGTATATCAGCTCTGATTCTGATCTTGCAGAATATCTTTAAGACTCTTATTATTGAAATCCAGAAATATTTATAACTAGTCAGATCTATAAATACTTAAGATACAACAGCTTCAAGGAAAACTGGAATAATAACAAATCACCTTAATCAAAACTGTTTGTCCCCATCAAATGAAGTGGTTACACATTTCCTGAAAACAGAGTTCATGATAATAGTTAATCCATTAACAATTTAAAATAAAAGACATGCTTAACTTGTTTAAGAAGTGGTGATAAAGATAAGCCAAGCCATATAATTTTACTTCACTTTCTATTTGCTTTACCCAGGCATTACATAGTCTTGTAGTCCTTATTGGTAAACACAAGAGAGATGATATTAACAAATCATGTAAACTGAAGCAGAAGAGATCTCAAATGCCTAAATATTTCAAGAATGCATTGAAGTTTCAATAACCTGAAACTCCAAGTATCAGAAAGCAGAAAGAATGACCCTACGACTGTTAAAGTCAAGTATTTATACAGGTGCCTTAAAAGCCACTGTTGGGTGCATACCATCATCACTGACATTTACTATCTGTTAAGTAGTTTCAAAGTGCAATAACTGGCTTGGAGCGTGAAGTTTATGACAACAACTAACACGCCTGGAGAGACTGTGAAGGTGTGATGCTTGTCATAACTTTCATCAGGCCAGCAACAGGCAGCCAGGCTGGAGCAAGACGCGACCTAAGCACAGATGTCTTCTCATTTCAAGAGGGAAACCTAAACTGATACCTTCATGGATAATTTAACAAGTACTGCTCTATAAATTTATAATGCCACTTGTGACTTTCTTATAACTGCTCTTTAATAGCACTCAAAAACAATATTCTTAGGATAAAAGTAACTGAGAACATAAAGTATGAATAACACACAAAGGTGGAAAAGAAATTTCAGAAATGATAACCATCCAAGATTTGGAATTTTCCCTAATGGTACATTATTTAAATTTATAAGTAGGAATATTTCCTCAATAGACAGTTTACAAATTTACTATTAGAAATCTTTCCTATTATTCTTCTAAAAATCTTACTATGAGACATTTTCTTTTTCAGGGTGAAAAGAAAGATGGAAGAGAGGAACAATGTTTGTGAACATTCAGCTAAACTTCAGCTCCTAAACTTCTTAGAATGTCATGTTTTTCCTCTTCGCTTCTGAGCAGGAATAAAAAGTGTGTTAAAAACTTACAGGAACACATGCTAAGCTCAAGTCCGCTGGTTCCTCAATAACCAAGGTTCAGTTCCACGGTTCATGTCACCACTTCTTATTTCAAAACAGAATCTGCCTTTTCAAGATCTGGGAGGCAGTTCAAGTATTCAGGTGAAGATAAACACCAGGCAGCAAACCCCCAAACAAGCGTCTCCAGAATCTGAGGGGCAAAGTCAGTTGCACCCACCACCCCGGCCCAGCGCCCCGACCCCCTCCACGCCCGGGGCCTCCGGCCTGCCCGCGGGCGCGCCCCGGGTCAAGAAAGTGCACTCGAGGCTGGAAGCCAAAGACGGCCCTCAGAGATGCCGCAGGTGGCTGGCCAGCGGGTGACCCCCCACCTGGCGCTCGGGCCTTCCTCCTCCGGGAGGCCCCGGGCCCCGCCCCGCCCCGCCACCAAGGCCGAATGTGCCCTCCAGCTTCCATCTGGTCAACTGCGGGCGGAGGCGGGCTCCGTTAACTGGACACAGCGCCCGCCCAGGGTGTCGATCCCACCCTAGCCTCCGCGCCCCGAGCGTCTCAAGGTCCCGGGGCGCTCGGGAAGGTGGTGGCCAAGGGGGGCCTGCTTGCGGCGGCTCTCCGCGCCGGCCCCCCCCCCGGGGCCTCGGGAACGCGACTGCCCGGGCCCGGCCGCCGCACCCCCGATCCAGGCGCCGGCGAGGGGGTGGGGGCCCGCGGGGCTTCGGGGCTGCGGCGGGGGCCACGCGCGGGGACTGGGGGCGTCTCAGGAAACCCTGCTCTTGGCCCCGCCGGGGATCAGTCCACCATGTCTGCGTCGGAGCGGGCGAGCGAACCCTCCTCCGCCTCCTCCTCCTCCTCGCGATCGCCGCCGCAGCCTCCGCCTCTTCCTCCTCCTCCTCCCCGTCCCCCTGCGGCCGCCGAGGGTCGCGGCGCCCAGGCTGCCCGAGCCGCCGCCGTCTGGGCTCGGATCCGGGAAGCTCGGCGGAGCGGCGGCCGAGGCGGCGACGGGGCTCCTCATTTGCGTGCTATTAGCATGGACCCGCCCATAGCCACGCCTCACCACGCCCCCTATCCTGGCCCGCCCATCGCCCCGCCCCCCGCCCGGCTCATCTGCATGCACATTCCTCGCCGCCACATTCCAGGGCTTAACCCTGCGGCTCCCGCGGCTCCGCGCGCGGGCCTGGGCGCCGGCCGGAGCCGGGCTGCGGCGGCGGCGGCGGCGGCGGCGGGAGAGGGGGGCCGCGGGCCAGGTGGGAGGGAGGCGGGCGGAGGAATGCACTGTTCGCTGCTTCCACCGGACCCCCAAAGTCTCCTTACGGCCGAACGCTTGGGGTTTATTTTATTTTAAGAGTTTCGGAACGGGAAACTAAAGAGAGCGCTCCGCAGCGCTCTCCTTCCACCTCTTTCCGACTTCCAGGGAAACCACAAGACTTTCCCCGAGAGGAAAGGGGTGTGGGAGGCTCCCTTCGGAAGCAAAAGGTCCCAGCGAACAGCGAGGGCACAAAAGGGTCCCTCTGCGCGGCGCTCCGCACCCCGTCTCGGACCCCGGGGCGGTTCCCGGGGCGAGGGGTGGGGGAGAAAGTATGAAAAGCCCCGCCGGCGCCGGGAAGCGCGTCCGGGGGCCTCTGCAAGGGAGCCCGGCCCTCCGGGACCTCCGAGCCCCGAGGGGCCCCGCGGGCCTCGCGGCGGACAGCGAAGGCGAGTCCCGAGGTCCGAGAGCGCCGCGTCCCGCCCTGTCTCCGGGGGGGCCCCGCTGGGAGGACTCGGGCCAGACCCGGAGAAGGGGCTGACCACTCCACCCTGGTCGTCGTCCACGTCCGCTCGGCCCTCGGAGCCCCGAGCTGGACGTGCCTGCCCCGGGCATCCAGCCCCTTCCGTCCGCCCCCGNCCTGGATTCTCCTAAGGAAGTCAAGTGAACTGAGGTTCCCCAGGTCGCGGAGCTGCCGCCGTTAGTGTAGCAGCCGCCCTGGAGGTGGGGACGGCCTTTGGTCCTCCAGGCCTCCAGGGCGCCTGTGGTCCATCTCCGAGGAGGAGGTTGGTCCCGCAGAGTAAGGATGGAGGCTCGGGGGCTTGGAACAGCTTCGTGGTGAGGACTGGATCCGTCTTCTCGGGCGAGGGCCTTAGAGGGGTTGTATCCGTTCCTGGAGCATCTGAGTAGAAACTTTAACCACAAGACACTCTAGAGAGCTCAGAGGGTTGCACTCAGCAGCTACCCGAGGGCGCAGGAGGCAGGAAAGGTAGCCAGCCAAGATGAATTCGCTTTCTTTATCTTTCTAGGTCTTCCTCGTGTGCACCAGGAAGCCAGGCTTCACTGGTGACAAAGGGAAGCCCCCTTCCCCTTGCTCCGTTGTTCAGCCTCACTCCATTCATCAAGAAGTGATCCCACAGGGCAAGCCTCGCCCTGTTCCAGGTGAGATGGGCCATCCTAGCTAGTGTAAGCTTAAGGTTGTATTTCTGAATGCTGGGGAAAAGATAAGGCTAAAACCTATCTCTCACACTACTGAGTGAAGGAGAAGCTTTGTTTTGGAGTGCTCTAAATTGCCGCATTACCATGGTCAAAATTTGTGTCATGGTATACTATTAATAATAACATCGTTTGGCAACCCAGCCAAGCCATTCTTTAAACCTTGCTTCTGATATGCTTCCCTACCCTAAACAGTTAGAAAACATGTTTTATATTAAAATGTCTGCATCCTGCTACTAAAGAAAAAAGTGACACGCTTTGCCATGGCCACAATTTAGTTTGTTTCACGGGGATAAACTACTGCATGGTACTTCTCAGTTAATTTCAAATTTGATAAACTTTCAGATAAGTCAGTATCCTTACCCAACTTCTAAAACCGATGAGGAATTCAAAATAGCACACAGCTGTCAATGGTTGTTTAGTGTCCCATAAATCTAAGACTTCAGTGAAAGTGAAAGTCGCTCAGTCTAGTCTGACTCTTTGCCACCCCAGTGGACTGACTATACAGTCCATGGAATTCTCTAGGCCAGAATACTGGAGTGGATAGTAGTTCCCTTCTCCAGGGAATCTTCCCAACTCAGGGATTGAACTCAGGTCTCCCACACAAAAGCAGTTCAGATAATAGAAAGGAAAGTCCCTCCGCTGCAGTGTTTTTGTCTCGATCGCGTTTTCATTCTGCTGTTCTGAGTTCACTCAGTTTACATAGTACCACCCCTTCAGAGAATCCCTGGGGGTTAAGACGATGACATTTCATTTTGTTTATATTCACATCTGTAAAAATAAAATCAACATGAAGATTATCCACTATTTTATAGATGCTACATTTAGATTTCATTTGGCTCCAGTTCAGAAGGATGATGTTGTCTCTTGCCCCGGATGGATTATTCCGGTTTTCTGGCCTTCAATTCCCTTGTCTCCCAGCTTTCCATGTTTCCGATACTGATGGTCGGTGGGGATGAGCTGCCATTAAACAAAGCTCCCATGTCAGATCCTGGGTGGCCGGAAATTGAGTGGTATCAAAAACGAGAGTGGAGAGTGAAAATTATTTCAACAGAGAATTAGTTATATCTGTCCAAATTGAAATATATGTTTTTAATCCAGTATATATACATATTTAGCAATCCTAGTTCTACGATATGTAAAATTATTTAGTCTTGGCTGCACTGGGTCTTCGTTGCTGCGCCAGGACTTTCTCCAGTTGCAGAGAGTGGGGGCTACTCTCTGCTGCTCTTCTCATTGTGGCGGCTTCTCTTGGTGCAGCGCAGGCAGGCCTCAGTAGTGATGGCACACAGGCTTAGTTGCCCCAAGGCATGTGGACTCCTCCCAGATCAGGGAGAGAACCTGGGCTCCTTATATTGGCAGGTGAATCTTCAACCACAGGACCACCAGTGAGGTCCCTCAGGGCTACTACTTTACCTTTGGATATTAAAGTTCCTCTAGATATGCAAAAATGTTCATTGTAGCATGCTTGATAATAAAGCTGAAAAAATCACCAGTGTCCGTCATTAAAGGACTAAGCAAATGAAATATTCATACTCAGCGGGCATTTAGAAAGCCTCGCGCAACAATGTGTTTGCTGATAAGGAAGGATGCCCAGGATTCTTTTTAACCCAGTATATATACGTATACTGGAAAAAAAGTAAGGTGCAAAAGACACTTGCTTGTAAGGAATTCATTTACATTCTTTCTTACATAAGGTTCCATTCTCCGTTCACCATCTTTAGTTTGCATTTTTCCCCATTCCAACTTTATAATCCATGAAAAACAGCTTTTATTTTTTTTCTTGCTGACTTCATTGGAGATGGAGCCAGTCATAAAATTTAAAGAACACAGTCTTGTGTATGCTTCCTTAGTGTCAAGGGAGAGCATTCAGACAGTAAATTAAGAGAGTGGGGGCTGTCGCAAAGGAAGGTCTCATTAAGGCAGTATACATGACAAAAATGATTGGTTAGGCAAATGGATGGGGTTGAGATGCGAGGACCTGATTCCAAAATGGACCAGCCTGGCAGGGCCAGTGGGCTTACAGAAGGACATGGGTGCTGAAACTCCAGGCTGAATCTGGCGTGTGAGAACCCAAGACTGGCTGGAGCCGCCTAGTTAGGAGGCTGGCGTGATAGTATAGGTATGAGAGAGATAAAAGCCTGGATTAGAAATAAAGTGAGGAGGGCATGGAAAGGAATGATCCGGCAAGAATTTGCTCCTGATTAGATTAAGTGGTGACTAGACCAGAAGGAGGAACCTGGTCCGATTCCAAGATTTTAGGCCATCAGGAGAGACTCAAAGAGCTGAAATAAATGAGGAAGTCCAAAAGGGGATCTGATACGGGCTTTGATTTTTAGAAATTAGAGATACCCCAGCAGAAAGTTAAAGGTCAAGACTCAAAAGGTCAGGATTGTGAGTATATCATTGAATGTCACCCATCCGAAAATTCTGTAAAGGGCTAAGGATTTGGGACTGAATCTTGGGAAGGAAATATCTAAGTCTAATAGAATTAAATAACCCACCTGTAATCCTGTGTTTGGCCTAGAACTCTTCAGTAATTTGATATGATTTAGTTTATTTCTTTGTAAAATGTGGTCTCCATTTTCAAGGATATGTGTAAGAATTCATTACTAGCATGTAATACACCTCTGAATGAATTATTGTTATAACCTTTATCGTTAAGCTATTGAGTCAACGCACGTGTAGGACAAGAGGAACTGGTTTTTAATATTTTAATATCCCCTGTCTCTCCAGGAAGTCAGGGATTATATAAACCGGAACTTCTAAATAACAAACTTTTTTTCCCCTAGATCGAACTAGTGACTTTTTTGTTTTTGCTTTTCTGCATCTGAAGTGTTAAACAACATCTCTACCTCTATTAGTTACTATGAATAGGTAACCCTAATCCACAGTTCCTAAACGATAGTGTCTAGACAGTCCTTAAAAAGACAGGCATGTGAGGGACTTCCCAGGTGATCCAGTGCAGGAGGTGTGGGTTCAATTGCTGGTCAGGAAGCCAGTAGTGCAGCCAAAAAAATAAAAATTTTAAAAAGACAAAAAAAAAAAAGAGGCGGATGACCTTTTAAGAATTCCGAGCGCCAGACCAAACCAGAAAGCTCAGTTACCAAGCCACTTCCCTTCCACTTAATTACAATCCCAACACCTTAGGCAGCAACCATCATTCCAGTTCAGTAGTAAGCAGCCTCAGACAGGTTAGATTCTACCTGTTTCACTGCATATGGAGAGCCACAGTGAGCAAACCCCGTGATTGCTAAAAGGATAGGAAACATGTAATAGCTGTCTTATTAGTGCAGAGGAACAAAAGTTCAAATGCCATGTTTGTATGTGTGAGGCACTCAGAAGGGACCTCTTATATGCTCTGTGGGGTAGACTGTTAGAATAAATATCCATTTACATTCTTCCTTACATAATAAAATAATGTAAGTTTCCATTTTCCTTTTACCATCTTTAATTTGCATTTTCCCCCCATTCCAACTTTATAATCCATGAAAAACAGCTTTAAAAGATGGAATCCGGAAAAAAAAAAAAAGATGAAATCTGGGACCCCTGCTTTCAATGCAGGGGGCTTAGGTTCGATCCTGGTTGGGGAACTGAGATCACAAGTGCTTGACAGCAGGGCCAATAAGTAAATAAAGAAATAAAAAATAAACGATGGGATTATAGTCCCTCATCCCTATCTTTTAAAACAATTTTACATCTCTTTTCCTATCCCTCGGATTTTCCACTAAATTCTTTCTTTTCTACTTATTATTGATCAGTCTCTCTTTCTCCTCTTCATCTTCTTTCTTCCTCTTAGTTCTTGATTTCCTGATGTTGACTCAATGCTGTAAATTTGGCTTTGAGAAATTAACTACAATATAATCTCCCAAATGCATTTGATTTGTGGATTTTCAAATTGAATAAAGAGGAAAAATGGTCTGTGTAATAAAGCATGTTTCAAAGAAATAGGTTTTGGGGGACCGGGATGGGGAATATATGTAAATCCATGGCTAATTCATTTCAATGTATGACAAAAACCACTGCAATGTTGTACAGTAATTAGCCTCCAACTAACAAAAATAAATGGAAAAAAAAATAATAAATAAATAAAAAATAAATAAAGAAAAAAAGAAAAACACACACACACACACAAAAAGAAATAGGTTTTGCCAATAAACATGGAAAGGTGCTCAGCATCATTAAGAACCAGTGAAATGAAAACGAAAACCACAATGAGAAATACGCATGCAGCTGCTGGTGGTGGTGGTTTAGTTGCTAAGTCGTGTCCGACTCTTGCGACCCCATGGAATGCAGCCCACCGGGCTCCTCGGTCCATGCGGCCACTACCTTGGCAAAAAACTTAAATGTAATAATATCAGGTGTTGGTAAGTGTGTGGAGCAACAGGAATTGTCATCAGTGATGGGTGGGAATGCAGACTGGTACAGACACATTTTGGCCATATCTAAGAAAATGGAGGATATCCACATCCTATGACCTACGGATTCT